CACAGGACCTTTGCATATTATCTTATATTACATGGGGTCTTTACATAGCTCATAGTACACTGGATCGCATAGTACATTGGATCTTTACGTATTATCTCATAGTACATATGATCTTTACATATCTCATAGAACATGCAATCTTTACATGGATATCATAGTACATGGGATCTTTACATGGGATCACATAATGCATGGGATCTTTACATGGGATCACATAATGCATGGGATCTTTACATATTATCTTATATTATATGGGGTCTATACACTCATAGTACACAGGATCTTTACATGGGAACTCATAGTACACAGGACCATTATATATTATCTTATATTAAATGGGGTCTTTACATAGCTCATAGTAAATGGGATCTTTACATATTATCTTATACTACATGGGATATTTACATATTATCTCATAGTACACGGGATCACATAGTACATGGGATATTTACATTTTATCTCATAGTACACGTGATGTTTACATTTCTCATAGTACATGGGATCTTTACATGGGATATCATAGTACACTGGATTTTTACATGGGATATCATAGTACACAGGATCTTTACATATTATCTTATAGTACATGGGGTCTTTACATATCTCATAGTACACGCGATATTTACATGGGATATCATAGTACACTGGATCTTTACATGGGATATCACAGTACACAGGATCTTTACATATTATCTTATAGTACATGGGGTCTTTACATATCTCATAGTACACGCGATATTTACATGGGATCTCATAGGACACAGGATATTTACATATTATCTCATAGTACACAGAATCTTTACATGGGATATCATAGTACACAGGATCTTTACATATTATCTCATAGTACACAGGATCTTTACATATCTCATAGTACACGCGATATTTACATCGGATCTCATAGGACACAGGATATTTACATATTATCTTATAGTACACAGGATCTTTACATATTATCTTACAGTACACGGGGCCTTTACATATTATCTCATAGTACACAGGATCTTTACATGGGATCTCATAGTACACAGGATCTTTACATGGGATCGCATAGTACACGGGATCTTTACATAGTATCTCAAAGTACAAGGGGTCTTTACATGGGATCTCATAGTACACATGATCTTTACATATCTCAT